TTAATCAAAGGAATATTTATTGTTTGATATTAATAAATTGAGAGGAAAGAAAAGGCACTATTAAATTCTTGTCAAGACAAGAAACAATTTCGAATTTATAATAGAGAATATAAAATATGAAAGAAAATCGCGTAACACAATAAGCATTTTTGATAATATGTTTGAATGTATTTTTGTGTTACAGATATACACATATATCATGTGATATATTTGGTATTACTGGATTCTCTTATTAACGCGGATAGCATATCTGTGTGTGGGACAGGAGGCTATACATTTTTTTTTAAATAATTTTTCTTTCAATTAACTTGTTTTAGCACGTTTTATGTATTCTTATTATGTATACTTTTACATACAAACAATTCTTCTTTTGCGTGATGCTTATCGATGTGTTGTTTTTGCATTTTTCATTTTACGGTGCAATATAATCTTCATATATAGTTTTGTACTAAAATTCGCCGAGCACTTTCAACTCAGTTATAAACGTCATAAACTACTTGTACATATTCAACGAAAAATCTGTCTAGCTAATAAAACCGACACTCACAAGATAGATTTTAAGATAAAACAAAGTAAAATGTTCAACGTTACAATTTTATGTGAGAAGATATATTCAAAATGCAAGCGTGTCGTTAATCGGATTTTTTGCTCTTCGCAAATAAATTTCCGAGACATAATTTCTTGTATAATCGTAACGTACCTTCCAGATTCTATTTTTCATATACTGCACTGCGTGCAGCACATGTCCATTTCAACCGCGGTAATATTTATACGCGGTAATATTTAATACTCTTATATTAAAAGACGTTGGGCGTGAGAAGTTGGCCCGTTATTAATTCTAAATGAAATGGACCGAAATGTAATTAAAAAGAAAAAAAAACGTATGCCTGGCGATGAAAGTGGCTGAAGCAAATGGCTCGTCTCGACGGCGTGAATTAAGATCGACTGAAGCAAGACATTTTCGGAAACGCGATTTCTTCTTTCCCCTTGAATAAATTATTCATGATTTCAATGGGTGATTAATTGGGATTTTAAGTCGAGGGATTATTAAGACAAACGACCTAGATAAAAAATTGACTATTATATTTGCAAAAATCACTTCTGCGATATCGCGTAAATGCTCTCAAAAACACAAAAGATTTAAAGGAACTTCAACAAACGCTGATTCAGATCAGTCGATCAGAAATGCATATTGCAAGATTATTACATTTTATATTGGAAGGAAATTACTTCGCTACAACATGTAACAATATGTATAATTTTGCAAATCTTCCCCGCAACAAATAATTAAATATTCACAAGACTCCGTTAAGATATGCAGTCATCAATATAACATTTTGTACAACATATCATCGTAACGTAAGGCAAAAGGAATTTGCCGATGCTATGTAACTAATAATTGCATCGAATTTCGTCATTATATTGCCCGTACCTACGCAAACACGTCAAACTCATTGCAACTGTTTTAACCACTCGCACATGGATTAATAATGAAGCAACAGTTTCTTTCGTATCTTTTAACCACAAAGAGGAAATATTCATGTGCGGCATCAAATTGCGATATCTGTAATATTGTACAACATGGTCTGTTGTCTGATTCATCAAACGTGTACAAGTCTTCTAATTTTCATAAAATGCAAAACGATTTTACAGACGCATGTCGTTCAGTATTGCTGTCACACGACAAAATATCTTTCATGTAAGACATAAGTCATCGATCATATTGCATCGATAGAATTGCGAAATGCCCATTTACATATCACGAGCATTTATATGACTTACTTATAATTACGTTTGCAATTACGTGCAAATTAACATCTCATTTTCATAAGAGATTTCATAAACAAGTTCTTGTTACAAGTGATTATAAGGAACTACTATAGCAGGAAATTAAAGAAACTAACGTCAAAGACGGAACAATGACGGAAATTTAAAAAGAATTAGCTACGACGATTGACGAATTTCGCTATTCCAGAAATCTCTTGCTGTAGCTTAATTTTGCAATCGTGCGTAATGCATTATCGTGCAAGATGCGAATCTTTACGAGCGAGTGAACAGTTCTATTATTCATCTCTGGAACATTCTCTGAAAATCCAATAAATTTCATGTCTCTGTTCTTCACGGCAGAACCGACGTCTTGTCGATAGGAATTCTTTCTTCGAATATCGTAGAATGTGTTTCTATTAAGAACTCGAAAGTGCGAAAGTTCATTTGGTCGCAAGTTGATTAAAAAAAAGAAGTCATTTTACACATGCGAAATCAAACAATCATCTAATAAACGATAAAAACGTCGAACAACGATGATATATACTTTGAAAAAGGTATATGCTATTTTGTTACTATTAACAAAAGAAATATAGCTAAAAATTTGATGAATTTTTATAAGCTAATAATATATAGATATATACATTCGTGCGATTTTTTTGGACATTATGTAATCCCTTGCAATCAATATTACATTTCAAATGTTTACGCGTTAACACGTCGAAAAATACTGGCGAGAAATTATCGATGCACAAGTCGTATTTCACAGCAATCGAGTTTGACCGACGTTAAGTGCTAATCGAATAACGATAAATCACAATGTGTACAACGATAACGAATACGAATATTGGAATGACGCAAAATGTACGTGAACTTTTTGCTCGGATGAGAGTTTGAGATTATAGTCTTCGATATTATTAATCATGTCAATTTTCACGATTAATAATAACCGGCCGATCTTATCAGGCGGCAGTTCTTATGTAAAACATTCATGCAGCGTTTATCGCGATGAGACGGAAGAGCAGTGTTGGGGAAAACACTGTTCGTTCCATGCGATTATATTCCATTAAATTCAGGAGAAGAGATTCTGATTTTCGTTTCCGTCACATGCAGATAGCTTATGTGTGATATCAATATGAGGAAATTAAATGCATGAGCTCCACTAAAATATAACACACCGACGGACTGCGCTTCCTTCCTTGAATATTCGCGCTGTTAATCGCGGACATCCCTGTTTGATAGTTTTAATCTGAAATTTCGTGTAAACATCGCACAGATTCGAATAAGCGGAAAAGCATTTTTTATTCTATTTATGCTAAATGACTTATTAATGGTCAAAGAAATCCCCTTTGTGTCGCGGTTGAGTCAGAAATTTATTGCCAATGACTCACGAGCGATCGGCAGAAAAATTACCCGTTTGACTGTGCAACCGGCCTTTAATTGGGATTCTCAATTAAACATTGCCGAGCACGTGGACTAAGGAAGAAAGATAGACAGATAGAGAGAGAGGGAGAGGGAGACATGTTGCGGTTAAAGTAGGTATTACACCAGTTGACCAGAATCAGTAACTTTCGTTGCGAAGTGAAGTTGAAATATCTCTCTATCTCAATAGCCACATCGATATCCGGTTCGGAATTACATATTCCAATTTTCGCGGTTTCGCGGACCGAAATTGCAGCTTACCATCAAACAAAGCCGATCGGTATCGGCTCTTAAGAAACTCCATTTCATAGAACATTGAGAAGCAGAAAAAGGAAATGCACATTATTTCCGGGTATCGATCGACTTTCTCGCGCTATTCCGTGCTCATTCGGCCATTATTTCGCGATGAAAAAAAACGCATTTCTCGGAGCGCCTCGGCGCATTCGTCCCTGAAGATCCCCCACCCTATTATTTATGACGTGCTCACTTATGACGTCTCAACCTGTTCGGCTGAGCACTTACGAAAGCTATTTTACATGTGTGAAGGTTACGGCACAAGACCGATGCCAATCAAATCACGCGACTGCCGCGGTGCTCGCTGACTAATTGCATGTATCCAGTTGGAACGAAATGTCATGCAGTATTCTAAAATAGCTTGCCGGTATTTCGAATTTCCGCGACGCGTTTTAAGGACGTCCGTCGAGTACGACTGACACGTTGCGTTACCATTCACTGGAATTTTTGTCCGTCGCGATGACTAACGCTTGGAATGAATATTTTATTTTATAACGAGAAATATTTCCAAGGGTAAGGCAATGGAAAAATTTAATGAGATGCTAAGTAATCAAACTCGATAAAAGTATCCTCCATTTTGAACATCTGAAATGTAATAAATTTTTCAGCGCTTCTTAGTGATTTATGTATTATTGTATTGTATTAGATGTATTATACATCTAATACAAACACATTGCTCGATTTCAAATAATGAAGATCAAGTTGAGATAATTTTCTGTTATTCTCGATAGCATATGTAGAGAAACTTATACGTGAGAATGTCCGTACCGCGAATAAGTTATCCAATTTTCGTGACTTTTAAAGCAATTAAATGGCGCACGTGTTTTATCGCATTTTGTTCCGATAGTTCTTATCTTACAGGCTTGTAAGTACAATTCAGATAATTTTTATCGAACAGCACCGTATTCTGTTCCACCAAAACGCACCACTTGAGTTTTCGGCAAACTCACAACAGTGCCAGAAATATTTTTCGCGCGTCAGGTGGCCGGATTGGGCCGGCAAGGACTTTACTTTATGATCCATTTTAACGTACGCAGTGTGGGAAGCACTCTCCCTGAGAGTATTCACATCACTTGATAAATACGCAAAACGTAAAACAAATCTAGCCGGGGCGATGTATCCCGATATACATAGTGCTTCTTTATTTATTCGCGCGGCGGGGCGTATAATTCATTGAATAACCGGCCGTCCCGGCGGACGATGCTACATTGGAAATATAAAATATATTCTTTCATTTCCCCGAGGACTTCCCGAGAGCTTAGCTAGAGATACCACCAACGGAAAGGTAGTCCTCTCACGATCGGACCAATTCTGGGAGACGATCACCTCTTGCCTCGGATTAATCTGTCCCTTATCCTTCCTCTTTTCCTCCTTTCTCTCCTCTTCTCGGAACGTCTAAAAACGATGACACGTCTCGAGCTAGTGAGGATACTTCTTCCTCCTCCTACTCCTGCTTCTCATCCTCCTACCATTTTCCTTCCACCACCAACCTGCCGAGTACTTATGGAGTCTCTCGCAGATTAACTTTTGATACGCGTCTCCAGTCTTCGTGCAAGCGCCGATTTGTACGTGTGCGGCGTAACACGTTCCGTTGCCGATTATTAAATTTATATTAGCGCCGGCGAATTGCTCGTAAAGCGTAATTTGACTGGTAACCTGAGGTGAAGGCATTACGGGTAGGTTCACGGTATAGAGCGAAGAGAAGCCGGTGGTGAGGAAGTAGAAACAGAGAGATAGAGCGAGAAAGGAGGAGAGATAGGTGAAAAGCGAGGAGCAGTGAGAAAGGGAAGAATCGAGCGAGCTGCTACGAGCTGAAGGAAGAACGAAGGAACGAACGTAAGTATAAAGTAATCGTTAATCTTGTTGGTCGCGAGAGAAGCGCGGAGGGGTGCGGCGTAAGTTTAATCTAAATTATGCAAAATGATTTGCATCGCTGGCGGGCGCTTTAGGTCCAACCCTTTGTGTTCGCAAAGCAAACTGAGCGCGGTTTTATGCCCGATCTTGCGACGGTCGTGATTCCACAGCAACTCGGGAAAATCGTTTGCAGCCTGGGACTGCGTTCGCCTTCGAGAAACGTTTATATGCCGCGCGGAAGTGTCCCATCAAAAATTTCGAGGACAATCTGACAGCTGCGACGTTACGGTATTTGGCGGAAAGCCGTCATTTCCTCTATCCGTTATTTCTCGTAGGTCCCATCGAGCTTGGCATTTTTGTTCCAGTGCCTCTTTCCGAAGCGATTGTATATTTTCTGCCCAGAAAGGCAATTTTTTAATTAAATCGACAGCGAAAAATAAATAGAGAAATCCAATACGATGAAGTGGTCTGAAATATCTCGATTAAAGAAAGATTTCTAACGCGTGATCTATCTGACGGAGTTTTCTGTACTGGAGATTACTCAACTGTTCTTGTATATAACGTATGCGAATATTTTATCGAAAAGTCCGAAAGTATTCCTTCATCCAGACAGTCGTACTATTCAAATACTACTTGAAGATGTTCATACGTTCGTGTAAAGTTTCGTCACGATACTGAATGCATCGTATAATGTTGAGCGAGAACTCGTTGTACGTCTTGAATCTAAATATTCTGACGTAAGAAATGTTGTGGAAACACGCAGCGGTTGTGCATCAGCGGTTGTCTATGAGTCGTGTGTATTTTCATGTGAAACGGTGAGCGAAGTCGTTCAATTATCCGGGAATCAATAATCATCGAACAATCAACGATACTCGCAACGATTTACAACGATTTACTCGCCGTGATCACTCGCACGTGACGTGAATCGAATATCTACTAACAAGATATAATACTCGAAAACATCGGCGACAGTAGCATGAATGCGCGGCAACAAGAATCCGAGATACGCACGAGTGAGGTATTGTCAAATTAATTAAAATTAACATAAAACTAGTAATTTGTTGTTATTCATAATCATATATATTGGCGTTGTCATTCGCGCGGCACGTCATTCGAGAACGCGGATTTTGCTATTTCATGTGAACCTCGCGGCAAAATTATTCACGTCCTATGGGGATTGCATTTATGCGAACGTGCATATGTAAATGACACTAAGCAAGTATGCGTTCTCTGCTTGCGAATGAGAATTAATCTCCGAATTTTTCGTGCGCGAGAGATGAAATTAGTCGGTTTCGGTTACCGACATGCGCCCAAGTTGACGGAGAGACGGGCAAAAATGAATCGTTCTCGTCGGTGGCTGGTCGGAGAGAACTAGTGCGTGCGTGTAATCTTCGCGATTTGTGTTTTCTCACGGGTATCGCATAGGGAGGAAGAAATAACGAAGAAAAAAGCAATCACACAGTGAGGGGAAAAAGAGAAAGAGAAAGAGAAAGAGAAAGAGAAAGAGAAAGAGAGATAAAGAAATGAGAGAACAGTGGTGAGAGAGGAGAGAAGAGAGAGAGAGAGAGAGGGAGAGCGAGAGAGAGAGAGAGAGAGAGAGAGAGAGAGAGAGAGAGAGAGAGAGAGAGAGAGAGAGAGAGAGAGAGAAAACGCAGACGTATTCGCGTGTATTTCATTTTCACGATTGCGGATTATGGCGCGATGGACCTATTTTTTTAAATTACGCTGCACCATATATCGGCCGCCGCGTGACAACCTGGCAAGGCTAGGCGATAAATTGTTTTAAAACCCGTTGCGCATTTATAATGGATATCTGGTCTCGAAAACGCTCCATAATCCTCTCGCTCCGCGAGAGACGCGATGACAAAAAAAAAATCGGGACGGAAAGTGCGGGCGCCGCTGAATAAACGGCGGCTCATGCCACCGGGCGAAGGGTCGCGCTACGAATCGTTATCGATACGTGAGATAAATTACAAATCCGTATAGAGATGTGGACGATGGAAAAGCCACGAGGCAAGTTCCATTTGCGACTCTACCTCTGGTCCCTTCAACAGTTAATTGTACCGAATTCTGTCTCTCTCTCCCTCTCTCTCTCTCTCTCTCTCTCTCTCTCTCTCTCTCTCTCTCTCTCTCTCTCTCTCTCTCTCTCTATGTGTATATACACATCTCAGGCAAGACTACAATCAAGAAAGGAGCAGCGAAGCGCTAACCGAGGGTTACTTAACTTAGACTATCGGTGCAACTTAGTCTAAAGAGCCGGTCACTGTATAGCGCAGTTACGTTGAAACTTTCCTCCGGTATTATCGCGCGTACTTTGCCTGAAGCAGCCAGACATGCCCATTGTGTTTCGCTCTATGCTTGGGATTTAAGCGTTCAGGACGAAGATAACGCGACTTATTCCAGGCCAGAGTTAACTGGTCTTTAATCACGCGGAGAGCGTCGCTAGGTTATCGTTATCGCGATAGTTTTTATTACATGTCCATGCTGAACCTTCATACACAACTCCGCGGAGTATATGCGATCACGCCGAGAATCGATCGGCCGATTTATCGGATGTGCATCGTATAATACACATTTAATTTCGCCACAACGTTGCTTGTAACCACCGTTGTCGTCTCAGGTGTCCCGTTTACGTTAGACATCACGACATGAAGTCGACGCGAGTAGTTGCGACCCAGTGCACCGTCGGCTACCCACCACGGGACGACGGCGGTGACTAATCTTGATGAAAACGTTGCGTGTTGCGTCTCGGATACACATATTGCTTCGAGATACTCCGTCACGCAATTGTTGCGAACGTTTAGTCGCTCCCACGGAGCGATTCCAGCCGATATCGATTTAAGTGCTCGGAGGCCACGCTAATGGATACTTTGGCGGGAACATAACGTGCCGCCACCGCCGCCGTCGCCGCACCACCGCCGCAAGAATATGATGAAAGAAGTCGTGCAAGTACTTCCCCGCGATTTATGTCCTCTTGCAAGGACGTTTAACCACGACACCGAGACACGTCGTATGTTATGGAAAATAGATTGCCGTCGTGACGTCGATTTCTCGTCACGGCGTAAATTGACGCAAACGGTCTTGTTGAAGTTTGTTCCGATCGAGTTCGCGGGGAAAATAGAATCACGCACTCGCGATACTGTCGACTATGAAATTTGAGTTCTTGATGTTCTGAAAAAAACATCTAGAACGACAAGAACGTCAAATTTTCAGGCCAGACGAGAATGAAATTCTGTCAAACGACGCGATTGGGTGGTCACACGAGAAAAAACTCTCCCCTCTTTCTATCCGCAAATTCAAAAGCGTCTAATCTCCAGGAAATAACGAGAGCAATTAATTTCTAAATTACACTTTATAATATCGTCTTTCACATATTTTCCGTTTTCATCATGCTTAAAAATAACTGGAGGAGAACCTGGATTTAAAGTTGCGAACACGAAGTTTTTAATAGCCCCGGTGCAAACACCGCTATTTTCGCTTGGCTGAAACAAATGCGCGACGAACAAGCGACGGAAAATTTTTATTTGCTAATACGAACACCGCGTGCTCGCACGACGATAAACGCCCGCCGTTTAACGCGATTTTTCACTGCAGCCGCGAGATTTTTTCCAAAGAAAATATTTCTTCTCCCTGCTCGCCTCCTCTCTCCTGCCCTACCCTCGCATCCCGTCGACCGTGCATCCTTCATAAAAGTTTACGTCAACGTGCGAAAGAACTGCCCGCCTATTACGGTCGGGATTTTACGGCGTTCTCTGAACTGGCTGTCACAGATCGCGATGCCGGCGGACGTAATTTTTATTGCCGATGCTACGACCTCCGTAAAGTAGCCACATCGCGAGCTGGAGTCATCGGGGGGAGTGCCGTTGTACCACGCTAAAGTGCAATCGGTCGAAACGCACTATACCGCGCGTCATCGCCGCGGATACTTATTTCGACGAATCGATATTCAACTGTGTCGTCGTAAAAGAACCATTCCTGCGCCAATAAGTATGCGAGTAATTCCGCTTTCAATATTTACAACGCGACCTGTCATGTCATCCCGACTTCCCCGCCACCACCACCACCGACGACTTCTCTCGTGTGCTCGCGCTGTAACCTCGATTGAAACCGCGCATCAGCAGCTGCATCGGACGCGCGTCGAGCGGATAAAACGGGCGGCGCTCCATTCTGGATACTCAAATCGTCTAATCCGACGATAAGCGTAAACGGCATTCGACATGGCAGTCGCGGTTGCGCGATTGTCGTCTTCTCTGCCTAACCGAGAACCACATTGGCAGTATTTCGTACATAGCTTTACTTATGAGAGCGCTTTTACTCGGATTAGACCGCGCGGACGCCAAACAGTGAGCGCTTTTAAATATTACGCGGGTATTAACTGCAATAACACCGTCATTAAGCTGCTTATCTGGCTCGTATTCACCGTGTCGTGGCTGGAAGGTTAGTAATCTCCGTACGGAGTATCCGGGTATACGGAGCCGCGCGAAAATACGTAATACGATTTCGCAATGGTGGAAATATCATTCGCGACGAGTGTCTTCGTGCGCGACGCGCGCGAAATCGCCTGCGTTGCTAATTACTAATCTAACGTACGTCTGAGACCGAAAGATACGTCAGCGTCAGCTTGAGATTGTTCCGATATCAAACAGCATGCATTCATTGAGGCATTTCCAAGAGCTTTATCGCGTCGAGTTCCCCCACGCCCCTCTCTTTCTCTCTTCTCCTATTCTTCGTGACGCACCGCTGTAATAAGCGACGCCGACGTGTCAGGAACCGTACCGTCTAAACGGGGCGCTTACGCGCTATTTTGTCCGGCGGAAAATTAAATTCGAACTTCCTTTGAACGCGCGGGTAAACCGCAGCGCTCGTGCGGCAACTAGCCGCGAAAATCTCTCGCGAAATGCGATAGCGGCGGAACAAACACGCACGCGCGAGCACACGTATCCCTCGCCCATTTTGCAGGAACTCGATATTATCTCCTTTCTTTGCACTTCTCACCTACCGTCGGAGTTCACCGCGGTTGCGCCGAGTTCCGACGCTTTTCTTCAAAAGTTATGCGTGCGTACTAAGTTGGCTTCCTACCTAAGTTGGGTATTACTCGCGCACGTGGGTTACAACTTTGGTCCCCATATATCTATATATACATATATATATATATATATGTATAAATGCTTGGTATTTCTCTAATTCGTTATTACATTTTTGACATCTCCCAACATTCGATTCGGCGCGCGAGAGTAATCAAGAAATCTGCGGCTGATAGCGAGCATGGAAAATTGCTGGAGAATTCCACGCATTGTAGAACGGAAACTGTATCATCTCTTCTCGTCGCGCCTTTCGTGGGCGAAATCGTTCGCGGTGCATTCGTCAGTTGCGTTCGAAATGTAATTTTGATTTTTGTCGGGTGTATGAAAAACAACAATCAAGACGCGACGCGAAGATCAGCTGTCCGCTGTGGTCGCGGTGTTCTGTTCGCTCGCGAAGTATTTTGTTTACGATATGATATCTAAATCCTGTGCGCTTCTTTCTCGTCAACCTCGCTTCCGAAAAGTTGTAACGAGGGAATCGAAATGCATTCGTATATTACGCGCGCGGGCACCGTATGTCGATGATGCATCCGGCGTCTGCAGTTTTCCGCAAAACGAAATGTTATTCTGTCTCATTTGCGTGGCGTTATCGACGCATCGGGCTCGGGAGACCGCAAACGTAATGGAATAAAATTGTCGTCAAGAGAATGGACTTCTCGCTGTCTTAGTACGTTAATTGCTGTCGAGGTGCTACCGAATTTTAATGCGCCGGAGGTATGCCGAAGGTGCTTTCCTTGGTGAAATACTGCCACGTAACTCAGGTCGCTGAATACATTAGAGGATGCAAGATGCGAAGTGATTTGCTCGGAGAGCAAACTCGTGGAAACTCGTGGAAACGTTAAGGATACACGACAAAGTAATAATGCCCGGACAGTATCGCGTTGAAATATATGTATTGAATCGAGGGTCGTTTATTTTAATCGAATGCGCTTATTTTAGTTGGTATATGCAGAATAGTTTATCGAGCGCATTTATTTTATCACGGAATTATTCGCGATTCGAATTATCGAATTAAAGAGAATTAAATTCCATTGAAAACTTTTTTCGTCCTTCTTTTTCACCCTAAAATAATATAACAATTTTGCGAAATGGACTACAGACGGTATTTGATTTTACTAAGTTCTTCCGGAAAAAATCCCTCCATTGTGAAGAACCAATTAAATTTTCATTAAAAAGAATTGATCTCAATCTTAACGAGGAACAGATGGCCGTGGCAAATCGAATTTAGAGCAGAATACTCCATAAAGACAGAGTACTCCGTAAAAATACAAAATATATCTTATTCGTCAGATCTAACGTGCAATAGAATCAAAATTGTTGTTAAATGTTCTCATTTGCGCAGAATATGTATAAACAAAAAATAATATTTGCAAACGACCACGTATGCATTCACGTTATTTCATACAGATTTTTCTTCGAATTTCAGCGAACGTAGCTCAATGCCGTTCTATTTACCATGAAAATATTGGTTAATCTGATATTTTATCGTTCTCTACTTCTCTACTTCGCAGTCCTATCGCACGATAAATCAGTTCGGACGTTCTGATATTAAAAATGTCGCTTTAAGTCTCATTTATCCGAAAATGTATGGTTCTGCATAAAAAAGACGCATAAGTGAAGTGTGTAAAATAGTTTTAGTATCCTCTGAATATCTTCCTCTGCTGCTGCCATAAAATATATCTATCGCTTTATCTCGCAATCAATCCGTGAAATAGATCTTACGACACGTTCCAAGTCATCTCATATAGAAAACGGTTGTCAAAATATATGATTATACATATCAAATTGATAAATAACGAATGCGTATTTTTCAGGTTGTATTTTCATGAAAACTAACGAAGCACCGCTGTTATCAAAGATGCACTTGTCGGCATCGTTCGTCCTTATCACGGTGTGCCTGCTGGTACATTCGACTGTCGGCATAACAGAAATGATCAACTCTGATTCCTTCTACTTTCCCGACCAAGCGGACTACATCAAGCTCGCTACAAAATGTCCCGATAACATGATACTTTGGCCGTACAACCGTCAATGTTACAAGGAAGGCGATGAAGGTCCCTGCAACGTCGGCCGGGTACTGGTGTTCGATCGTCGGTTACTGAAACCGTACTGCAAGGATCTCATATTTTAAAGAAGCGCGAATGCAGGAAGGAATGTGACCAACTATCGGTGATTTGTAATTTATTACACGTCGGTAATTTGTCGCACGGTAGGTGACATAGTAACAATTGCGAACGTTCAGGGGGAAGTGTATTCGGGTGAACGCCATGTTCGGGTTGAAGCTCAATTCCGCCCGATGCGGACAAAAATATTGGTTTAAGTGAAACGCGTCGAAATTTCCATAATGCAAGTATAAATGCTATTTTTGTTAGCTGCGTATTCCGTGTAAACAGCTACGTCTCATGAGAATAATATTGTGGAGCAATATAAAGGCAAATTAGCATGTTGCATTTGCGCTATGGAAATTTGCTCTAAACAGAATATGTAATTTATTGAAGACGGATTGCGAGATGTGGGGAAACTAAAATAAAAAATTAGTCTGATAATTAGCGAAAAATGTTTCAATGTTTAAATAATTATAGGTTGTTTAAGACATTTATTCAAAATGTTTAACCGTATACTGCAACAAGCGCGCCTCTAATTGTAACGTCGTACCCATCTCGTATTAGATTTTTATCATATTCATCTACACCAAAATAATTTTATTATTCTTGATTTGTCACATTTATATTTATATTCATAATCGATATCGTAAAACTCGCTCTGTACGAGCTGTACGCAGTTCCCGATTATCTCATACAAAACTAATACGCTTATTAAGTATGCTCTGATAGTAACTAAATGTTTTATATTCCATCCAATATTATTTATTAAGATCATTTTATTACGAACTCTCAATTCAGAGAAATGTATTATGATCGTCAATTTCTATCAGCATACGTTAATCAAATAGGTTGACAATTATAAATGGATACGTTTAAGATAAGGACTGATATCTATGTGGAATAATGCAAATGTAAGTTTGTATGTACATATAAAACTTTTAATTTTATACGAATATTTATATGCTCACATTTTGATATTCATCATAGAGTTGCGAACAGATTGTAGAAAAAATGACTTGTACTGACATCTATTCAGATTAAAGACATCACGAGAGCAATTCCGTGATCGGTCGTTCTTGTTATTTTATACCCAGTAAATGAGCATTTCGAGCCAAATTAGTTTGCGGTAATTAGCTACAGAAGAAGCTCTAAAAGCTTACATTCGATTTGTCTCAATTAGTGTATATAATTATTTTATCGATGGTTTAATGAGTAAGTTATTTCCATTACTATCGTTAATAACATGACACAATAAACGAACGTGTAAGAGTTAAATTTTGGTATTGGTATTATCATTAAAAAAATATATATATGAGTGTGTGTGTGTGTGTGTGTGTGTGTGTGTGTGTGTGTGTACGACTACCGGGAGCATGTCGTGTTTATTGAGTCGTCTATGAGAGTATTTATTAATCGATTGCGACTCGATGCGCGGGGAAGTAGGTGAAATGACCCTCATACCTTGTTACCCCGGCCCGAAGGGTTCTACGCTCGTCCCCGTGTAATATCCCAGGGCCCAATGTGACATCGATTCGCAATTTGGTACGGTAGTTGACAATATGGAGAGACGAGAAATGATTTGGAGCTACGAATGCCGTCCATGGCGCGGTCGTTTCGAGATATCTCGCGGCCTACACTACCCTCTTCCTAGCTTGCCTTCTTGCCTTGACGTACCTGATACGTGCGCGGGGTAACAAGCGTCGCGAGATGTTTTCGATTAACATCATTTTAAGAATGACTGTCGTTCTTTACTATCGGATGGAGACCCGATACCCTCGTCGCGTTTTCCATCTTTATTCGTCGGTAGGCACGCCAACGAATCATGATCGAGTTCTCTTTCACCCTCCGAGAGCACCATCATCATCGTCGTCGTCGTCGTTGTCGCGGAGAATTCTTCGCGGAATAGAAATATCCAAGCTGATAAAGTTGAATTTCTCAAAAGCGCGATTTACGATATCGTTTCAATTATTCGTAATTTCAATATTATTACGAACGTCTCCGACGGATAAATTAAAATCAGGATCATACATTGTTAGATATACAGATATATTGTGGACTTTAATGATCGTTATTTGCAGAAGATTTCATGTCAATCATATTATATTATAATGTGCTAGCTCATAATGTATTAATGTATTTAATTCATTCTGACCTTTCACCAAGTTATGAAACGTTCATCTTGAATTTGTTACCGTTATTCGAAAAGTGTTTCAATATGGGGATAATTTTATGAAAATTTATATTCCACTGAAACATATTTTAACGTACAAAGAGATCACATAAATTTAGAACTCGTACAATCAGTGCAATTCCAGTCATCAAATGGCTAACAATTTGGCTACATTATATCACATATTTTATTATTCGTATTATTGCACGATGTTAAATTTTACACGTATTTAATATATAACATAAAATTTTATTTTACATAAAAAGTAGTAATATATACGAGGTCCATTTATTCTCCAATACATGAGACTTACACTTTCCGTTGAAGTTATTTTTCTCATTTACACACCTCATAAAAAATCACATTCTGCATTTTATTCAACGAATAGATATATCAATTAATCGTGAGATTGTGAAATATATATATCTTAAAAACGGCTTTTTTTTTATTCGTGTCGGTTTAACGTTTCAGCGTAATTCAATTTCCATGCGTCAGTAAATTATTCTCCGTCGTTTTAATTTTGCGTTCACGTCCGCTTCTTCTTTTTAGTTTTCTTTTTATTCCCTGTTGAACTTGCAACGGATTCCTCTCCGCAGCAAAGAAAAGTAGCCCACGCGCCACGCCATTACGAAGTATGACGATTAAGGCTCAGTGCCGCAATTCCAATTCCTTCCCGTTCGCGTTACCGTATCCATCATCTCAATTTTATTCCACCAACTCTAAGTTTCGCGCCCGAGGAATTTGCTCGGCCGCGAATAAAATCGAGCGTGGATACATCGTGCCGCCTCGAGCGGAAATAAATCTGCGAACTACGGACGGTCAAGGTAGGTGTAATAGCTCGCGAAGACGCGGGTTCGTCGGTCGCGCTTGCTACGAAAGCGACTTCTATATCCACCTAACCTTCCTTCCTTCCTTCTTTCCTTCTGTCCTTCCTTTCTTGCTTCCTTCCTTTCTTGCTTCCTTCCTTCCTTTCTTCCTTTCTTCCTTCTTTCATTCCTCCCTTCTTTCCTTTATTCCTTCCTTCCTTCTTTCCTTCCTTCCTTCCTTCCTTCCTCCCTCTCTTCCTTCTTTCCTATTTACCATCGTCCGCTGAGAATCTCGTCACTTCGACTTTTTAAGTCCGATAAACGAATACGGCATCGCAATATTCGCTTTGTGGGATACCGCAATCCGGGTTATATTCACAAGCGGCGATGTTTAAAATTAAATTAATGAAAAGTGTATCCAAGCCGGGCGCGTAGATTCAAATTTTTATTAACTTTCGAGTTATATGTAAGAGTGTGTGTATGTGTGTTGCGATTTGCTCTTCATTTTAAATTCCGCAACATAACGCGTTTAACACATTACACATTACGTTGCGTTATGCTAGATCAAGAGATGAAAGAGAGAGAGAGAGAGAGAGAGAGAGAGAGAAAGAGGGAGAAAAAGAGTCGAGTGTATAAAAAAAAATGATTATAAATATAGTCGCTGGTATAAATAAGATGAAGGGTAATAAGCTAGGCTGAGGGTTAAGGGTGAGGGTTTTCCGTATCGCGAAGATCCCTTCAGTCTTGCAATTCGATGGGATTTATTTTCAGTCGATTTCGCATGCGCGCGTCAGCATTACACGCGAGATTCTCTGTCACTTTATAAACACGATATTTCTCTTTTTGAGGTAATATTATCGCAGCTCAAACAATTTCGCGGAATGTATTTAGAATGATATGATTCAGATACGGAAGATAAATACAATGGAAATTCAACGCCGTGCTATTGTACGTACGATAAACGGCGTCTCACAAAGCACCAGGTCTCTTGGACGTGAACGGCTTAAATGTATATTCCAGGTAAACTCCATAAGAGGGTTAACAACGCTAATATCGTGGCCTGAATACGTGACCGAACGACTTAGACCGTAAACTATAATGCTTAAGTCCGTCTAATCGTTTCTCCCAGGCATTTAATCGCTCAACGGTGCAGTTGTAACAAACTATTATATATAATTTACGCAACAGCTTGATTTTTGAATTTAACATGTGTGTGTGTGTGTGTATATATATACACACACACACGCACACACATACATACATACATATATATATATATAAGAAGACCCAAAAGAACTTCCTGTCTTTGAAAAAACACGTTCTTAAACAAATTCTAAAACGTTTTTTTTTCTTGCAAAATGTTATCTGAAGCTTAGTTTTTGAGATTTACAAAGATAAGTAGTTTGCTTGTTACGAGTAGGATATAGGAGGTAGGCAGGAACAGCATTGCCAAATGCAAGCGCTGACGTTGAGCTCCTGATGCGATGAGCTTATTGATGCATGTGATAACATTATACACATCATTTTGATAATTTCCGTTAATGATCATGCGTATTGTATCGAATGTCGCGAGGAAGGTCTACGAAATCAATACGCGTTTCTCTCCTACGTAAACGCGTATGATTGTGTAGATACTCGTAGCGAAATGCAATAGTTGACGGCGATGTTGTCCGGCATGAACGGCTTAATCTGATCGCCAAGTAGCAAAGATTAATGCGATCGTAATAGCGTATGAAATCTTTTAGATTAGTGTACGTATATACACCCTTGTGTATATATACATATATACAAGGGTGCTCAAAATATTTCGAGACGCTTTTCACTTCGACTTACTTTCCCGTTGAATTTTGAATTATAAGTGAAAGAAAAGAAAACGTCTTGCGCTTGAACAAACTTCACTGACGATCTTTCTGCACAACTCGAGCAGTTTGTAACATCGTCAATTCAGTACAACTTTAATTAACTGGGCTACATTTTGTCTTTAATGTCAGTAGAGTGACTGAGTTTTATGGAAAAATAGACGGTAACTCGATTTCGGTGTTTTATTTTCGAGACGACCTACACCGCATTGTGATAATATTTCGGTCTACTTTTTTAATTCTTAAGTGTTGTGATATGTAAACTCTCAACGGGGATTGCTCTAACGACCGGCAGAAAAGAGGCAGCTGCCCAGGGGACAATTTTAACTTTCTCATGCCTGTAGTTCCCGTATTCATAATTCCAACTTTATTCCTTGAACTCTCAACTTTTGTAGTATTCCGGAACGGGATTTGTTACTCGGTTACCAGGACCGTCAGGTTAAGGACCGAGGTAACAAGGTATGTTCTTCGAGAAGTACATCTAAGGGCATCGATAACTCCTTATTACGGATTTGCATCTATTAACGTCATTTTATGTTCACCCTATTTGCGTGAAAATTTGCATAGCTGCAGGGTGTGTGTGTTAGCGACATCGTAAATACGAATGTTGCGTAAAAGCGATCGCTTTAATATCGCGATATCTCTTTCTCTGTTCTCGGCTTCGGCCAACATCGTTAAGCCGACGAATGGTCTGCTGAATACGAACACGTCATATGATTTTGATATGTGAATGCAAATATCACGTAAAAATTATCCACAGCAACGCAAAATCAATAGTAGCAAAACGTGTAATTAAAGAGTGAAAACATTTGTTTCAGATCTTTATTGGCCTACTCGCTACCCCAATCGAGCAGCACGCTCAAAGCTATAGTAATAGTTATTTCGTCGCTTTTCCGACGTCAAAAAGATTATCAAAATTTGCCAATTCGTGAGAACTTTGACGCGTGCGCAAGTGTCGCTGAGGATGTCCGACGATAATTAAATTTTGCCGCTGTCTGTCGAGTGGCGTCGCGCTGCAACCCGGAAATACGAGATATCTCGTTGTGTCCGTACTTGTCGGCGCTTATGGCGTACGAAAATGGATGATGGCCGGAAAGATAGGGACACGAGCGGATAGGAAGAGAGCGAATGTTGAAGCGGATGATCTCTCTTCTACTTCTTCTTCTTCTTCTCTCTCTTTCTCTTCTATCTTTTCTTCTCTTGTTCACATACATCTCTGTATTATATATCCTTATTCCCAACCTCTATATGACATCCCTCCCTCCTTTTACATCACTAAGGAGACACCTTATGGTAGTTTCTTGTCGCGAAGACGAGGAATCGGCGACTGAGTTTCCGCCGTTAAGCCAAATCCCCGCGAGTCTTGCGTCGCGTCGCGTCGTCGTCATCGCCATCGTCGTCGTCGTCGTCGTCGTCGTTGGGACGTAAAAAGCGGCTCGACGA